TTATTTATTTATCTATTTTAAAGATTTTATTTATTTGACAGAGACACAGCAAGAGTGAGCACACAAGCAGGGAGAGTGGGAGAGGGAGAAGCAGGCTTCCTGCTGAGCAGGGAGCCTGATGCAGGGCTCCATCCCAGACCCTGGGTTCATGACTTGAGCCCAACGCAGATGCTTAACTGACTGAGCCACCCAGGTGTCCCAGGAAAGTTTTTATTTTTAATATAGTCCAATTTACCAGTTTTTGGTTTCGGATTCTTCTTTTAGTGTTGTATCTAAAAAATAATTTCCAAACCCAAGGTCACCTAGATTTTCTCCTCTGTTAATTTCTAGAAAGTTAATGATTTTGTGTTTTAAATTTAGGCCCATAATCCAATTGGGCTGATTTTTGTGAAAGGTGTAAGGTCTGTCTAGAGTAATTTTTTTTTTTTTTTTTTGCAGGGGCGATACCTCATTGCTGCAGTGCCATTTGTTGAAAATGTGGTCATTGCTCCACTGCTTGTCTTTCCTTATCTGTCCTAGATCAGCTGAGCATTTTTGTGTGGGTTTTTTCCCGGGTTCTCTATTATGTTTAGTGGATGTTAGTGTCTCTTTTTCACTAGTTCCACGCTGTCTTGATTACTGTATCTTTATATAGTAATGTAGTATCCATCTTCCAACATGGTTCTTCTCCTTCAATATTGAGTTGATTATTCTGGGTCTTTTGCCTTTCTGTAGAAACTTTACAATCAGTAGAACTGACATATTAACAATGTTGAGCCTTCCTATCCGTGAATAATGAATAATGTCTATGTCTCCATTTATTTAGATCTCTGATCCCTTTCACCAGTTTCGTAGTTTTATCTATCTATCTATCTATCTATCTATCTATCTATCTATCATCTTAGCTTCTATTTAAATTCCATTTAGTCTGGGCACCTAGGTGACTCAGTGGTTTAGGCCTCTGCCTTCAGCTCGGGTATGATCCCAGGGTCCTGGGATCGAGCCCCACATCAGGCTCTCTGCTCAGCGGGGAGTCTGCTTCCCCCCCCCCATCTGCCACTCTGCCTACTTGTGATCTCTGTCAGATAAATAAATAAAATCTTAAAAAAAAAATTCCAGTTAGTTAACATACAGTGTAATATCAGTTTCAGGTATACAATATAGTGAATATACAATATAGTGAATCAACACTTCCATACAACACCTGGTGCTCATCAGCACAAGCACGCTCCTTAATCTCCATCACCCATTTGACCCATCCTCCTATTCCCCACACCTCTGGTAACCAACAGTCTGTTCTCTACAATTAAGAGTTTGTTTCTTGGTTTGCCTCTCTTTCCCCCCACCATATACATCTGTTTTGTTTCTTAAATTCTGCATATGAGTGAGATCATATGGTATTTGTCTTTCTCTGACTGACTATTCCTTATTTAGACCCTATACAGATTTTGTTGGATGTCTACTGATGTAGTTCATTTTTTGTGTGCTCATGTAAATGGTGTTGTTTTAAATTTCAAATTCGTGTTCATTGCTGGTATAGAGGAAAATAATTGATTTCTCTATATTAATTTTAACCTGAAATTTTGCTACAGTGGTCTCTTATTATTTTCAGGAGTTTCGTTGTTATTGTTTCTTTGGAATTTTCCGCATAGATATTGATGTCACTAGAAAACAAAGACAATTTTATTTTCTCCTTCCAAATCTATATACTCTTTTATTTCCTTTTCTTGTGTTATTTCACTAGCTTGGTTTTCCAGGATGATGTCACATGTCAAATTGCCTTCTTTCCAGTCTTGGAGACAAGCATCTAGTTTCTCTCCATTAAGTATGATGTTAGCAATAGGATTTTTGTACATGTTCTTTAATAAATTGAGGAACCCTCTATTCCTAGTTTGCTGAGAGTTTTAATCATGAATTGTTGTTGAAGGGGCACCTGGGTGGCTCAGTTGGTTAAGTGTCTGCCTTCTATTCAGGTCATGATCCCAGGGTCCTGGAATTGAGCCCCATTCTGGGTTCCCTGCCCAGCCAGAAGTCTGAGTTTCTCCCTCTCCCTCTTCTTCTTCCCCTGTTTGTGCTCTCTCTCTGTTAAATAAATAAGTAAATAAATAAATAAAATATTTTTTTAAAAAAGAATGGTTGTTAGAGTTGTCCTATGCTTTTTCTGTATCTATGATAGAATCATATGATTTTTCTTCTTTAGCATATTAATATGCAAGTTGTGTCATTGGTTTTCAAAATTTGAACCAGTCTTGTATGCCTGGAAAAAATCCTGCTTTGCTGCAATGTATACTTTTTTTAATACATTATTAGATTTGATAGATAATATTTTGTTGAGATTTTTTCCCATAGTTCATGAGACTATCTTATGTGACAGCTAGTATGTGTTTCTACTCCCCACCCTTTTCCAGGACTCATAAGAAACTTGAAGTATGCAACAGACACATTCTGGCTAATCCATTTGCTAGCACTCTTACTACCAAGTCACTAGAAAAGAACATCCCACCAATAAGAAGTAATAACCATTAAATCCATAGATGATATATGAGAATTAAAATTGCCTGTCTTCAGTATGAGTTGGTAGATGGCTGTTGCCTCATTCATATTGGGTACAGATATGAGATGAGTTTGCATCGGGGGTCTGACTGGCCTCTACTGGATATTATCTCAGGCAGTTTTCCTGGTTCTTTCATGTGTCCGGAAGCCTCAAAAGAGTGGATCACCTCCAAACAACTCTGTCATGTAAGGCAAATCCTCAGACCAGAGCTTCCTTGGAAATCAGACCCTCGTACCTTTTATTCATTGTTTTTATCTCCTCTGGGACTGGTTTAGTCATCTTCTCTCAGTTTGCATCTAGCTTGTCAGAATCATTTCCATTGTTGCTTAAAGTCTCTCTTTTCCAGTGAGCACAGAATATCGTCTTTTCAAAAACCCATTCTGATAATCTTTATCTTCTAATTGCTATGTTTACACCATTTACATTAAATGTTATTCTGGTACATTCTGTTTTCTCTTTCCTGCTGTCTTTTGGAATTTAAATGCTCTTTCAGTGTACCATCTTAATTTACCCATTGGCTTCTTAAGTATATGTATTTTGTCCATTTCTTTTAGTGGCTGTGCTTTGGGATAAAATATATGATGTGCATAACTTTAAAATTGTTTAGAGTTAATATTTTGCCACTTCCCCATACAGCCCCACATATCCTTTTCCCCTTTGCCCTATGCGGTGTAGTCACTGGTGTATTAAATCTACATGTATTGAGAACTCCTGCAGACTATACTGTAATTTTTTTGCTTTTCAACAGTGATGAATTTTTTAAAAAAACTTAAGAGGAGGAAAACATTTTATTATATTCACCCGGATTTACTATTCACCCAGATTTATTTACTGTTATCTTCTATTCCTTTCTGGAGTTCCAGGTTTCCCTCTGATATCATTTCCCTTCCACCCAAAGAACTTTTGTACTTTTTTAAGAGCAGGTCTGCTGGCAACAAATTCAGTTTGTTTTCTTTCATCAAAGGATGTCTTTATTTTCATTCCTGAAGGATATTTGTACTGATACAGAATTCTGGTTTGCCAGTTTTTTTCCTTTAACACTTTTTAAAAAAATTTTCAGCGTAACAGTATTCATTGTTTTTGCACCACACCCAGTGCTCCATGCAATCCGTGCCCTCTCCAATACCCACCACCTGGATCCCCCAACCTCCCACCCCCCACCCCTTCAAAACCCTCAGATTGTTTTGCAGAGTCCATAGTCTCTCATGGTTCACCTCCCCTTCCAATTTCCCTCAACTCCCTTCTACTCTCCATCTCCCCTTGTCCTCCATGCTATTTGTTATGCTCCACAAATAAGTGAAACCATATGATAATTGACTCTGCTTGACTTATTTCACTCAGCATAATCTCTTCCAGTCCCGTCCATGTTGCTACAAAAGTTGGGTATTCATCCTTTCTGATGGAGGCATAATACTCCATAGTGTATATGGACCACATCTTCCTTATCCATTCATCCGTTGAAGGGCATCTTGGTTCTTTCCACAGTTTGGCATCCTTTAACACTTTAAAAATGTTGGGCCACTACCTTCTGGCTTTATTGGTACCTAATGAAAAATCCAGCATCATTCAAAGCATTTTTTACCTGATATGTAATGTGCATTTTTATTTGTTTATTTATTTGGGGGGTTGCTTTCAAGATGTTTTTCTTATCTTTGGTTTTTAGCAAATTATTATGTGTATAGGCACACTTTAAAAAAAAAGATTTACTTATTTATTTGAGAGAGAGCAAGAGAAAGCATGAGTGGGAGGGGCAGAGGGAGAAGGAGAGAAAATCTCAAGTAGACTCCACACTGAGTGTGGAGCCCAAAGTGGGACATGATCCCAGGATCCCAAGATCACAACCCAAGTGGAAACCAAGAGTGGAATGCTCAACCAACTGTGCCACCGACGTGTCCCTCAGTATACTTTTCCTTGAGCCTATCTTTGATTTTGGGGTTCCTTAAACTTCTTGAATCTATAAATTAATATTTTTCACCAAATTTGAGGAATTTTCCACCATTATTTCTTTAAATTATTTTTTCTGTGACAGCTTTTTCTCTAATCCATCTGGGATTCCAAAGGTATAAGTATTAGATATTTGACATTGTCTCACAGGTTCCTGAGGCTTTGGACACTTCTAAATTTGTTTTCTGTGTGTAATTCTAATTGGAGCATTTCAATTGTGTTAGTTTTAAAACTGAATTCTGTGATTTCCTTGTTGGCATTCAACCCATCCAGTGAATATTTTATTTTGGTTGTAATGTTTTTTCAGTTTTACACACCTTGTATATGTATAATAAAAGTTGGAAATAACATCATAAGTCACAATTTGGTATGTGAAGAATATTATTCACCTTAAAATCTAATAAGCTATTTTTGAAAACTTCTAAATTTCAAATAAGGATGAAATGCATAATAATACATTCTGTATGGTATGTATAGCCAATAATCTATCAATTTAACACTTGTTATGTGGCTTTTTATTTAGAGGATGTTTTGAAGATTATTGAAGATGAAGGCTTTAAAATACTGATGCAAAGGCAAATTGTATTATCAAAAGAGGAAGCACACACACTGTGCAAGGAATATGAAAATGAAGATTATTTTGGAAAGCTTATAGAAAAAATGACCAGGTAAAGTAGATTTTCAGGTTTAGAAGGCACAGTCTGATTTAGTTTTTAATCATTTAGGTGTTCTTTGAAGACCTAATGCCATGTGGCAACTGCCGTGGTCAAGTTGCCACACTTCTCAGTTCTGTAAACATGTGCTGAATCTACTTCTTGGCCTGTCTCACTCCTATCTCAATTCTCTGTTCAACTGTCCATCTTCTCTCATCCTCTTGGGACGTTACTGGAGCAATGGAAAGGCCTGGGTGAGTTCCTGGGGTCCATTGAGTTGAATGCCAGAAATCTAAGTTGTGTAACATTAAATCCAAGTGGAGAACATACGGACTCTCAAGTGTTTTGGTAATGCTGAAGATCACTAGTCCTAGGGGAAGACTGAGGGGCTAGAAATCTGTCAGGTTTTTTAGAAGAGTAAGTGAAATAGCAGCTGTGACAGAAATCCAGCAAGGGTGTATAAATCAGCAGGAATCTGGGAACAAAATAGGAACTGATCTATCAGAATAAAGGCCCTTCTCTTCCTTTCCTTAAACTACTTCCATCCTTTTATAAGGTGTTTAAAACACTCAAGAATACACCAATGGGAATTCATCTTAGACTTGATAAAAGGATTATCTTGACATGTTTTTGTCTATTTAACAAAACTACTTGTATTATCTATATATAATTAGCTACTGAGCCATACTTTTGGTCTTTTTTTTCTAACAGCGGTCCATCTCTAGCCCTTGTTTTAGTAAGAGACCATGGTTTACAACACTGGAAAGAGTTAATTGGACCAAGTAGTGTTCAAAAAGCCAAAGAATCTGTTCCAGAGAGGTAGGATTCATATCATGGGTCCCAAACTTTTTTCATGGGAGACATTTTAATTTCTTTTTGGATGTGGGTACAGGAACCACAGCTCTAGTACGAGGAAAGCTCTCAGGAGGAGGAGGTCCTTTCCTTTCACACATGCTTTTCCCCCAATAATCATGTCTAACAGCACCACAGAGGGGCAGCTTGTAGTTCTCTCCATTGAGCAAAGGTAACTTCTGGTGATACCTTTGCTGTGCAAATCCCACACCCCTAGCAATCACAGGCTCCAGGGGTCTTGGGCTACAAAGGTCTTCAAGTCAGAGATATGAGAACCATCAAGGGTCAAGTGGAAAGGTCAGATTGGATAAGGCAAAAAGGAAATCTGGGAATGCATCAGCAAAAGCAATGAGGTGAGAAAGGGGTCTAAGGAGAGAAAGCCAAGTTACCAGTGAAGTCAGTTTATGAGCAGGAAAGCAACTTATTCACTATGGCAGGATTCTGTGGATTGGCAGTTCAGGACTATGCGTAAAGGGCAGAAAATGAAATAAGTGGAGAGTATATCCTCTACTGAAATTTATGTGGATGAAGAGACGGGGGGAAGGGCTACTGAAAAAAACATCAAGGAACAACTGATTTAGGAAATTTTATGTATTCATCTATTGTAGAGGAAGCAGAACCAGGATAAACTGCCTAGCCCAGGGGCCCGTGGGTGGCTCAGCTGCTTAAGCGTCTGACTCTTGGTTTCTGTTCAGGTCCTGATCTCAGCCTCTTGGGATCCAGCCCTGCACAGGGCTCTGGCTCAGGGGGGAATCTGCCTGAGATTCTCTGTTTCCCTCTCCCTCTAACCCTCCTCCTACTCACACACTTTCTAAATACATAAAATCTTGAAAAAAAGAACGTGCCTAATGCAACATGTCCAGTATCAGGCTCACTCCTGCCCCTTTACATGTGGCCAGCCCGTGTGCTCCACTCTTAGCTCTCTGCTCGCCCTGCTGGAGGGCTCCTTTGCAGTGTCTCCCGGACTCAGTGTTTGTCATTTGGGTTCTTTGGTATAGAGTCAGGTGCCATCTCTAGTGCTTGGTAATATTTAGTAATGAAGGAAGGGATAGGAGTATTTACTGACAACTTAATAGGCACCATATATTTCAAATGTATCATCTGATTACATCCTCAAAATCTCCTTCCAAAGCAGTTTTATTATCTTATTTATATCTGACACAACTAAAGCACAGAGAAGTTTGGTAATTGCCCAGTGCAGTAAGCATTCTACAGTCTGTGCTTTCTCCCTGTACCAGGGTACAGTTCCTTCTTTCAGAATTATCTGTCGATAGTCGCATCGTAATTATTTCACTGTTCATGTTCTTCCTAATGGCTGTGAAGCTTCCTTGTAAGGAAGGAGTATGCGCCAAGCCACTCTGTAATTATTGCCTTTTACACAGTGTCCAGATCAGGAATGAGCTGTTTGATGACTTTTGGACAATTTATTCAGTGTTCTGTTGTCTTAGATTATACTACATTATGTTACACTCTAACAGTGCTTACCTTGACTTCTTTTTCAAAGTTTGTGCGCACGATTTGCAATGGAAGGTTTGCCCATCAACCAGTTGTATGGAAGTGATTCATTAGAAGCGGCTGAGAGGGAAATACAGTATTTCTTTCCTCCTCAAAGCACTTTAGCACTGCTTAAACCTCATTTAACACAGGAACAAAGAGGTAAATATTTAGAAATAAAAATTAATGTGTACATTTCCTTCAGATTTTGTGAAAACTTTCAAACTATGGAAAAGCTAGAAGAATAATTCAACAAATGTCCACATCAGTCTAGATTTAACAATGAACTTTTGTCATATTTGCTCTCTCGTCCTACTTCCCTCTTCTTCTCTCTGTCTCTCTTATAATCAAAATGAAATTGAATTTTGTTGAAGTCCTTTTCAGAGTTGATGGAGATGATAATGGTTTTCTCCATGGGTATATTAGTAGGAAAAATCATGTTCATGATATTTCTAATATCAAGCCGTTCTTCCGTTCTTTTATAAACTTCACTTAGTCCTGAGGTATTTATTTTTTTTATTTTATTTTTTTCAGTGTTCCAAAATTCATTGTTTATGCACCACACCCAGTGCTCCATGCAGTATGTGCCCTCCTTAATACCCACCACCAGGCTCACCCAGCCTACCACAGCCCTCCCCTCCAAAACCCTCAGTTTGTTTCTCAAAGTCCACAGTCTCTCATGATTTGTCTCTCCCTCCAATTTCCCCCAACGCAGTTCTCCTCTCCATCTCCCAGTGCCCTCTGTGTTATTCCTTATGCTCCACAAATAAGTGAAACCATATGATAATTGACTCTCTGTGCTTGACTTATTTCACTCAGTATAATCTCCTCCAGTCCTGTCCATGCTGATACTAAAGTTGGGTATTCATCCTTTCTGATGGAGGCATAATACTCCATAGTATATATGGACCATATCTTCTTTATCCTGAGGTATTTTTTAAATGTGCTTTTAGATTCTATTTGCTTGTATTTTATTTAGGATTTTTCGCATTGGGACAGTGAGATTGGTCTGTCCTTTTCATTTTTTGTGCAAGGTTTAGATAACAGTGTAATATTTCATTAAAAAAGGTGCATGTCTTCATTTGCGGTACTCTGGAGGAGTTTAAGAAGCAGTGGGATTGGTATTTGAAGATTTGGTAGAGTTTTCCTGTGAAAACATCTGGGCCTGTTGCCTTTTTTTTGGTGGGATAATTCTTTGACCACTTTCTCTGTGGAGAAAGTCTTCTATGGAAAACCATCTATTTAAACTTTTTACCTCCACTGTGGTTAATTAGAGTTAATTTTGCTAAGCTGTATTTTCCTAGGAAATTATCCATTTTGTCTGTATAGAGTTCATGGTCTCTTATTATCATGTTTAATTTCTTCATTCAGTGGTTATTTCCACCCTGCTATTTCTTCATTTGTTGTCTTTCAAACAAACAGAATTTGATTTATTTATGAGTTTTATTTTCTGTTTTAAAACTCATTACTTTCGTTTCTTTTTAAAAATTTTTGCCTTTAAGTCTCTAATAGTTTTTAAAGTGTTCTTCTAGCTTTTAATTTTTAAAATTATTTATTTATTTATTTATTTATTTTTAAGATTTTATTTATTTATTTGACAGAGAGAGAGAGAGAGAGATCCCAAGTAGGCTGAAAGACAGGCAGAGAGAGAGGGGAAATCAGGCTCCCTGCTGAGCAGAGAGCCCGATGAGGGACTAGGTCCCAGGACCCTGAGATCATGACCTGAGCCGAAGATAGAGGCTTAACCCACTGAGCCACCCAGGCACCCTTCTTCTAGCTTTTTAAATTGGATATTTAATTCATTTATTTCCATTATTTTTGTCAGTATAGATTTTTGATTACTGCTTTAATTTCTTCTGATTACCCCATAGATTTTAATGCATAGTGTTTTCATTAACATTATTATTATTATTATTATTTTTATTTATTTATTTATTTATTTATTTATTTTAGAAATTCTGCACTGTGCCTACAATGTTGTTTCTCTATTTGTCTGCTTGGTGATCATATCTTATTTTTACTGTACTGAACACAAAGGTTGGCCTTTCTGGAAATCATATCTGACCTTCCCGGAGCATTAATAGTTTACTTGCCTGTGGTTCTGGGAGCCTTTTGCATTGTTCTTTATAATAATGACAACCTTTTCAAGCTGTGTTTCTAGGCCGGGCCCTCTAAGCAGACAAGACCTGGAAGAAATGGTTAATGTTCCCTTCATATTTGTTCCCACAGCGCCTCTCATAGGGTGCATCCTATGATGCATTGCTGGACTTTGCAGAAGTCCAGCCTTCTTCAGGCTTTCTATGGGTTATGCTCAAGGTTGATCTGTAAAGACCAGCAGGGCAGCACAGCACTTCTAAGTGCTTTTGGTCTGGACCAAAGAAAAGACTGTTTTACCAGAAAGCTCCTAATCCCTCATTCGATTCCCTGAATGTAGCCTTTAACGTTTAGGCTGTTGTGAGATTTTGACAAGATTTACTTTAATTCCCTCAAATAGTGCCTTGCTCTGTCAGGGAGCAGTGTTCAGATAGGCTCTCCCCTTCAATCCATATCTAGCAAGGACTTCCTTGACGTTTGCTGTGTGGATGTGAAAACACGTCTTCACTTTCAGCCCAGAAGCACACCCCTCACAACCTCCTTATAGTCAATGAGACGTTTCCAGTGGGTTCTGGAAAGGTGCATCTCAGAGACTGATCATCTGTGTTAATGTATTCACGTTGCTCTGAATGTTGATCTGATGCTTTTCAGTTCAATTTAGTTTAGCAGAGTTTTAGCTTTTTAAGCCACAGTAGGCAAGTAAAATGACTTTCCTTAGTTATTTCAGTCTATTTGAATATGGAACAAAAGTGGAGGCACTCTGCAAGGTTACCAATATCTGCTTTCCCTAGAGGAGATCCTGAAACTTATTAGAGAGGCTGGCTTTGAAATAACACAGATGAAGGAAATGCTCCTAAATGAAGAAGAAGTAGAAAAAATTTACTCAAAAATAAAAGGAAAAGACTTTTATCAAGACGTAGTAGAAATGTTAACTGAGTAAGTTTCTGATACATAGTTCTTTGCATTATATAAGTAGCAAATATTCATTATAGAAAATGAAAAATACAAAATGTAATTTAAAAAATTCCATTCATTAAGAGACACCCTATTAATATTTGGGGTTCGTTTCTTTCCTATTTCCTTCCTTCCCTACCTTCTCCTTTCCTTCCTTCCTTCATTTATTTAGGTCTTCACATTAGATACAGAGGTGATCTGGGTTCTAATCTCTGCTTTTAAATCCCTGCTCTGTCAACATACTTAATCTGTGCCTCAGTTGCCTCATCTTTAAAATGGAGATAATAATAGTATCTATCTATTTGTTTGTTGTGAGGGGTATATAATTGATACATTAAACATACTTGGAATAGTGCCTAGCATATATTTCTAGAATTAAACTATAGCACTCTTCTAGCACAACAACCTGTTGGAAAGGGAAGAAATGGAAAAACAGAAAGCACAAAAACACACTGATAAGAACAGAGAATAAAGACACCCAAGCGTGGTATTCCGTCCTTAGCTGTATATGTAATCTCTATAGGTATAAATAGCCCAGATAGTCTGAAAGCATTCTTATTTGCAGGGGTCCATCTTTGGTCATGGTTCTGACCAGATGGAATGCTGTTTCAGACTGGAGACGATTGATGGGTCCCGTAGAACCAGAGGAGGCAAAACTACTGTCCCCAGACTCTATCCGAGCCAGGTTTGGAAGAAGCGTTTTGAAAAATGCTGTCCACGGGTCATCTAATACCTACGAAGCAATGGAGAGCATTAATAGAATTTTTGAAGACTTCGTTCCTGAGAATCCTGAGAGAAACTTAAGTACAGTACCTCTTTAATTATAGTTTTCTTTTCTTTGCTTATTATTGTGACTGTGCCCAGGACAAGACTGTCCCAGAAAGACCAGAACTTTCCCCATATCCATGAATCAAACTTTATTTCTTGCCAAAGCAAGAAGCAAAGCTGTTCCAAAGCAAGCTTGAAGCTACATAATATGTATATGGATTGAGTTGATTTAGCTGTTGATAGAAAGTTTGGAAACTTTTCTGTCCTGGGTGATGTGGGAGACAACATGAGCAAGGTGGCTTTTCCCATTAAACCTACTTTATTTTCAAAGAGCACGTTCACAAATGTGTATTTGTGAGGCTCTGACAGCTGACTGGAATATGAGGAGCTTCTTCTCAAGGTGTCCCCACCCTGAGCCAAACTGAGAATCAGTACCCAGAGCATAAGGAGAAGGTGATATTAAATGGAGAAACCCCTCCACGTCCACCCAGGTTCCTAGGGGAGAGAAGTGTATGTTGTTCCCTTAATATTATCATTTAGGCTGTGATGTCTGCCAGTATAAGAACATTGTAGCGAAATATCAAGTCATAAAATAAAAATAAACGTGGGCACTGCTCATTCCATAAGTGTCACTCAAGTATAGACAAAGGCATGAGTACACAACCCATAAACATTTATGTTGGGAGACTACGAATTGTGTGGCTGCTTGGACTGCAAATTCTTGGTTAATACAAAAGTGGCTGAATGGAGGTTGTTGCCTTCAGAAAAGTGCAAATTGAATGTGGAGGCAAAACTCAAAGAAACAACATCTAATTATAATCAATATAAGACAGTACATTATTAAACATGCCAGTGATACATGACTAGTGGAAAAGGAGGTGAGTGGAACTACGTTCTGTTTATAGCATCATTTAGCAATATGGTATAGATACATGCTAACATCACACAGACACCCCCCCCCCGTTTTTGGTGAGGGGAGCATTATGAATAATTTGGGGATTTCACATTAGTGTGTAATTAAGTGCTGAATTGATAGGTATATGTTTGATGGTTAGGCACTGGAGAAGGTAAGGAATGAAATCGATCTTGGAAAGTAGGGAGAATTTTCAAAATCAGAGGTAAGGAAGCAAGAAAGAGAAGTCAGTTTAAAAGCTTTTAAACCATCACATACATATATGCTTGATGCTTATCTATAATTATATATCTATTGCTGGTTTCTTACTATGGCTATAGTGCTGTATCTACTATACTCTACCATATCAGTTTAAGGTATTGTTGGTCTGTTTCAGACACTCAGGAATCATTTGTTCAGCTCTTGCTATGTGCCGAACATTGTTGCAATACTGAATATACACAGTCCTTATTCTAAAACTCTAGAACTCTAAAAGTAGGATATAGAAAATTAACATGTGTTCTAGGGCTTTTAGGGGTAAACACAGAGTGCTTTGACTGGATGCATATAGGAGGAGGAGAAGGAAAATGAGAGGCAGCTATCCAGGCTGAAGGCATTACAACAAAATGAAAGATTACAGCAACCTTAACTAATAATAGAAATGGTGAGTTGGTGATAAGTGGAATGATGAGAGGATTCTTAGAAAGCTACCTTACAGAACTTGATGACTGACAACCAAGTAAGTGGGAAAAGATAAAAATTCCTGGCTTGACGCAGCAACGTCTTCCTAGGAACATCGCCAAAGGCAAAGGAAGCAAGGGCAAAAATGAACTATTGGGATTTTATCAAGATCAAAAGCTTTTGCACAGCAAAGGAAACAGTTAACAAAACCAAAAGACAACTGACAGAATGGGAGAAGATATTTGCAAATGACATATCGGATAAAGGGCTAGTGTCCAAAATCTATAAAGAACTTAGCAAACTCAACACCCAAAGAACAAATAATCCAATCAAGAAATGGGCAGAGGACGTGAACAGACATTTCTGCAAAGAAGACATCCAGGGACGCCTGGGTGGCTCAGTTGGTTAAGCAGCTGCCTTCGGCTCAGGTCATGATCCTAGCGTTCTGGGATGGAGCCCCACATTGGGCTCCTTGCTTGGCGGGGAGCCTGCTTCTCCCTCTGCCTCTGCCTGCCTTTCTGACTGCCTGTGCTCGCTCTCTCTCCCTCTCTCTCTGACAAATAAATAATAAATCTTTAAAAAAAAAAAAAAAAAGAAGACATCCAGATGGCCAACAGACACATGAAAAAGTGCTCCACATCACTCGGCATCAGGGAAATACAAATCAAAACCACAATGAGATATCACCTCACACCAGTCAGAATGGCTAAAATTAACAAGTCAGGAAACGACAGATGCTGGCGAGGATGCGGAGAAAGGGGAACCCTCCTACACTGTTGGTGGGAATGCAAGCTGGTGCAACCACTCTGGAAAACAGCATGGAGGTTCCTCAAAATGTTGAAAATAGAACTACCCTATGACCCAGCAATTGCACTGCTGGGTATTTACCCTAAAGATACGAACGTAGTGATCCGAAGGGGCACGTGCACCCGAATGTTTATAGCAGCAATGTCTACAATAGCCAAACTATGGAAAGAACCTAGATGTCCATCAACAGACGAATGGATAAAGAAGATGTGGTATATATACACAATGGAATGCTATGCAGCCATCAAAAGAAATGAAATCTTGCCATTTGCGACGACGTGGATGGAACTAGAGGGTATCATGCTTAGCGAAATAAGTCAATCGGAGAAAGACAAATATCATATGATCTCCCTGATATGAGGGAGAGGAGATGAAACATGGGGGGTTAAGGGGGTAGGAGAAGAGTAAATGAAACAAGATGGGATTGGGAGGGAGACAAACCATAAGTGACTCTTAATCTCACAAAACAAACTGAGGGTTAATGGGGGGAGGGGGGTTCGGGGGGTGGGGTTATGGACATTGGGGAGGGTATGTGCTATGGTGAGTGCTGTGAAGTGTGTAAACCTGGCGATTCACAGACCTGTACCCCTGGGGATAAAAATATATGTTTATAAAAAATAAAATTTAATAAAAAAATTTTTTTAATTAAAAAAAAAAAGGTTAAACATAGAATTACATCTGACCCAGCAATTCTACTCCTAGGTATATATCCAAGAAAATTGAAAACAGGAATACAAACACTTACTTGTACACCAGTGTTTGATAGCAGCATAATTCACAATAGGTGGAAACAACCCAAGTGTCCATCAATGGAAGGATAGATAAACAAAATATGGTATATACCTACAATGGGATATTATTTAGATGTAAAAACGAAGTATTGACAACATGGTAGAACATGGGTGAACCTTGAAAACATTACATTACGTGAAATAAGCCAGACACAAAAGGACAAATATCATATGATTCCACTTCTAAGAGATACCTTGGATAGACAAATTCATAGGGACAGAAATTTGACTAGAACTTAATAGATACAGTTTCCTTTTAGAGTGATGAAAAGTTTTGGGAAAAGATTGTAATGGTTGCAGATCATGTGAACATAACTAAGACCACTGATTTGTACACTTGAAAATAGTTAAAATGGTAAGTTTTATGTTATATATATTTTACCACAATAAAAATATTTTTAAAATAAAATGAAGAATAGTTCCTCAGGAAAGCACAGAGCTCTCTCACAGTAGAGTTCTCCAAAAGCTCTCCTAAAACTATATAAAATTAGGCATGTCTGATAGTACATTTATTTTTATTATTTTTTTAGATTGAGTATAGAGCATATGCTTATTTTTTTCTTCATTTTTATTTAAATTCCAGTTAGTTAGCATACACTGTGATATTGGTTTCAGGAGTAGAATTTAGTGATTCATCACTTACATACACCATCCAGTGCTCATCACGAGTATCCTCCTTAATCCCCATCACCCATCCAGCCCATCTCTGCCCCCCCCACCTCCTGTCTAGCAACTCTCAGTTTGTTCTTTATAGTTAAGAGTCTGTTTTATGGGGACACCTGGGTTTCTCAGTTGTTGAGTGTCTGCCTTTGGCTCAGGTCATGATCCCAGGGTCCTGGGATCGAGCACTGCATCGGGCTCCCTGCTCTGTGGGAAGCCTGCTCCTTCCTCTCCCACCCTCCCTTACTGTGTCTCTCTCTGTCAAATAAATAAATAAAACCTTAAAAAAAAAAGAGTCTGTTTTATGGTTTGCCTCTTTCTCTCCCCCCCATGTTCATTTGTTTTGTTTCTTAAATTCCACATATGAGTGAAATCATACGGTATTTGTTTTTCTCTGACTTATTTCACTTAGCATAATATGCTCTAGCTCCATCCATGTCATTGCAAATGGCAAGATCTCATTCTTTTTTATGGCTGAGTAATATTCCATCATGTATGTATAACACGTCTTCTTTATCCATTCATCAGTTGATGGACACTTGGTCCCTTGCTATAATTTGGCGCTTTTGCAACACATTTAAAAAAAATGCATGCAATTCAAACAGTAAAATCCATAAATGAAAGTAAGCTTTTACTAAAGTTTCTTGAAGAGATACTAAATAAAGGAGGTTTTTTTTTCCCCAAACAAAATATAACACAACACCAAGAAATTCCTAAAACTCTTCATTGGGCACCTCTGTCCTCAGAGTCCCCCTGGACACCGCAGCTCCTTCCCCAGTCATTCTGCCACAACTCCACCTCTAGCCTCTCCCATCATCTTCCGTAAAGTGCTGCACTCTCAGTCCTGTGTCTTTCTCAGTTCCTTCCAATTCTATTCCCCATCTTTGGCTTGACTAGCAATTCTGAATCCTTGAGAGGATTGAGTAGGAAGCTGTGGTTACTTAGAGTTAATATTTTTAACCGTGTCAAAAGAATTTGTTCATTAACTTATTGGGTTGTAAATCCTTGCTGATTACTTACTTGCTGAACCAGGCAGTATTATCTGTAAAGAAAAGAGACCATCTCCCAAGCTTGGTGATTCTACCATATGTCAGGGATTTGTGTGCAAAATGGAAACTCATAACTGCTTTAAAATTAGCTTTGTAATGTATCTTATCAACTGTATTCTTTCTTTTCTTAGAACTTTGAGAAGATAATCTGTGTAAGTTCACACTGGCATATA